CAGTCTGTCATTCCTATAATGATGGTATAACCCAGTCTGCCATTCCTATAATGATGGTATGACCCAGTCTGTCATTCCTATAATGATGGTATAACCCAGTCTGCCATTCCTATAATAATGGTATGATACAGTCTGTCATTCCTATAATGATGGTATAACCCAGTCTGCCATTCCTATAATGATGGTATAACCCAGTCTGCCATTCCTATAATGATGGTATAACCCAGTCTGCCATTCCTATAATGATGGTATAACCCAATCTGTCATTCCTATAGTGATGGTATAACCCAGTCTGCCATTCCTATAATGATGGTATGACCCAGTCTGTCATTCATATAATGATGGTATGACCCAGTCTGCCATTCCTATAATGATGGTATGATACAGTCTGTCATTCCTATAATGATGGTATAACCCATTCAACTATCCTTATTCATTTGGTATTACCCATTTTGACATCCCTCTTATAATTATATGATCCGCTCTGCAATCTTTTTGATAATAGTATGCCCCTCTCTGTCTCCCCTATGATAATTATATATCCCAATTACTATGGTAATGGTATTATCAACTCTGTCATCTGATAATATTGTCACCCACTCTGCCATCTTTTTGATAATATGATCCAGCCTGGGTATTACCTTATTCTTATTTCCATGGATACCAACAACCCTCCATGCATTGCGTAGGTGGGTGATGACACATTGCAATATGTATTGGCTAGTATGTATATTTGTTTTTACTGTATTCTTGATCATTCTACAAATTCAGAGTGAATCGTATGTTCCTTTATGCTAAACTACATTACAATCAGACTAAGATGAACTTTTAATCATTCTCCCATTTTATTTTGTTTACAGCAAAACCCCTTCCGGTCAACAATTACTAGCGAGTTCTCAGAGTAGCTCACCAACTGCAGCCAGTGGCCCCAGTGGTAATGTGACACCTAAAAGTAACACAGGAGCACAGTCACCAAGTACCCCTAAAGTAATCACCCCATCAGCAAGTCCACAGAAACCATCAACATCATCACCAGCTTCCTCACAGAGGAGTACACCCCCCACTGCACACAGATCACCACCAAATATCAACCCACCTCCTAAAGTATCGCCACCAGAAGAAGAAGATACTTTCAAGAACCTGAAGAGGACATTTGCCAACATTTTTGGTGATATCAATTGAGATATATATAGACTTGCTGTCAAGTAAAGAATTTGCCACCAGCTGATGGTTGTTCTATAAGATATGCTCCACCTGTAATTCCGAAAAAAATCGGTGAAGTCCATTGTCCATTTTGTAGATTTTCCAATAACCTTGTGTCTGATTTTAATAGTGTCCATCAACACATGGTAAAAGTGTTATTGGTAATTATTGTTGCATGAAAAGTTTATCACTAGGAAAGTTGTCACTGCCTCACTAAAAGTATGTGCCCACCCCTGTCTTGCTAATGGTATAACCTGAACAATTGATAATTAAATTGTAAAAGGTTATTCCATTGAGTAACTACGGGGAGGAGATGAACATACTTCCCCATCAGTAAGAATACATGGTGTTATAAACTAATATAGTAATACCATATATTATTTTAGGCAGAGTAAACTTTATTTTGGACCAGAGTTGTCATATTGAACTGACACAATATTATCTTCATGATTTGTTTAGGTGTGACTTTGTTAAAAAAGGGAAGGCTGCAATACTTGTTTCCATGGTTACTTATTTTGGTGTAATTCTCTTAGACATAACAAAATTTGATGTTGATATTGATGTTTCTGGTCACTGCGTGCATTAGTTACAAATTTGCATGTGGCATTTTTTTTAAATGTTTTTTGTCAAAATTTTAGAAAAAATGAAAGAAAAATCATGAATGTAAAAACAATTTCAGAATAAAAAGTCATTCAGAAAATTAATGTTTTCCTTCTTGGTCTTGGATGCTGCTGCAATGATGAATATACACAATAAATATTGTATAGTATCAGACATCAACAGACCTTATTTATCAGTCACTGAATTGTATATACAAGTTTTGTCAAACCATCCTACGTGTATTGTCCGTTTGTGATCAGTATTTGTATAGTGAATGTAAGTATTAGTGAAATGAAGCAGAAATTATAAATGTAAATATAATAATTGAATAATACTTTTGAATTTATACTGTATGTTACTGTGATAGTTATATGGGATGCAATGATTGGTCACTACAAACCAAATGATAAAACTACCTGGTCAATATTAATCTGCAATGAATACTGGGTTTTAAATGTAATCTGTAAAATGTCCACATTACTTTTTATAAACAGTGAGAAAATGTAATAACTTCAAAGCTGAAAAAAGAAATATATTTAAAATGAACATGCATTTTAAATATAGTCAGAGTCGGTCATTTTTAGTCACACTACCATTGAGCAAATTTCATGATAAATTTTTTCTACACACTATGCCAGTTGCTGAAAACTACCGGTACTCTTATTTTGTTGTTTTATGTGACTGGTGATTGTGAATCACTCCAGTGTTTAGATTGATGGATTAACATATAATATGAGTACCTCTGACATTGAGTTCTGCCAACATACAGTATCCACTGTGAATATCTTGAAGTAGGCATAAATACTTTATTATACTGTATACCAGTATGTTATATTGTGTTGAGTCAAAAAACTTGGTACATCATTTTAGTTTGCTATAACTTGTAGACTAAGGCTTTGTTTCTATTCTTAACATTATGAAGATTATATCACTGGAGACAACACCCATGTCAGTCTCTGTTAAATCTAAACACGACAATTGGATTGGCTAGGCAGATGTCCTTCTTTTCATTGACAAAGTCCCTGCATGGGCTTGTATAATAAGTAACTGCTTAGAAATAGTATGTGACCCTGTACTGTCTGAGTGCATATTTTGCAGTATCCTTGTAATAACCTTATTATAATACATCTTTTTCTCCCAGGAATACATCATGGGAATGCCGAAATCCAAAATGTTTAGAACAGATTTAGTCCAGTCAAACCCTTGGGGCAGCCATGTTTGTTTTTATTATTAGAGGACAATTATGCACGTAATCATTTCATATTTGGAATTTGTGTTTCCTAATATGGTAGGATGAAAATACCTATTGCAATACTGTAAAATTACGGCACGCTGTAACTTACAGTGTTCTAGTGACAGATGTATAATAATTAATAATATATCAATATTTCAATTGTCTGAATACATCATTCTGATTGGTAGAAAGCATGTTTTCAATTAATGTACTTAGTATTTCCAGAAACCAAGTTAATCTGTAACTGATATAGAAAAAATAACTTTATGGTGAACCATGTTAGAGCGATAGCAAAATATATTACAAGATCATTTCAGAAGAGGCGAGATAACCTGTTTGTGTAAGACATTAGTTGATATTATATTTTACAAGAATACATACAATATCTTTATTTGACATACACCCTCTATAGATGAGTACATATACATGACTCCAGTGACTTGTAAGCCCATTGGGCTGGGTGACAGATTTTTATTTTCAAGCTATGTATTTACTGAATATTTTCTTATTGTCACACGTCACTTTAATAAACATAACTACTACTATACAAGCCATGGTTAAATAGAATAAACGTAAATAATACATAGCAGAGTTATATCCTTCTGTCAGCTTAAATCAGGAATAACTGTATTCTGTCCTACAGACTGATATTGGATAACTATGATAGTATGGAATATCATGAATGAATGTGTCATATGCTTTCGTGACTCCTGTGTGATTGAAGTGTTGGTTTGTGTACTCCATACATATGCACTGTGAATAATTATGCATCATTAATTTATTAAACATTAACCATTTATCAAGATGTGTTTTACAAATTTAACATGCTTGCAATACTTCTTATCATTCTTAATTCAAATTGTGTGTATAAAGTTGTTTTTAGTGATGTAATATTATTGGTGACATGAATGAAATACATTTATGTTTAGTTATGCCCTCTATAGGTCAAATCAAAATTAATTTTGTTTTTATAGTAAATGTTTATTATCAGTAGTGTAGTAGTTATTTGAATAATATATGTACAGTGGTTGTTCACATGCTCCAATAATTACTCACATTATGTATGGTATTTTCAATCTAACCTATGTATAGTACATTTTACTATATTCATACAGAATTTATTGCTTTGTTCTATGAATCAACATTCCATGAAAACAATTTTAATGGTATAATCAAATTAAGTACCATGACACTACTTGTGAGACATCACAAAGCAATATCAGTAAATGTGTTGCTTTAATTTCTACATACCAGTAATTCAGAACTTGATCTAAAAATATTTAATTGTTAATCAGTGTCCCAACAAAATCGACATTTATAACATATTTAGAATACCACCAAATAATAATATGTTTTGTATTTAATTGTCTCAATGAACGGTGAAGTTCTATTCACAATTTCTTTAGTATTTCTAGACAAGGTGGGTAGCACACATTTTACCAGATCTGCACTAACCATCTTGTTTAAATCTGTACAGAGAAAAGCTGTCATACTGTAAATTCATTAAGTTTTAATTTTGCTATTTTCGTTGATAAATTCAATCTCATGAGCATAGCAATATAAGTCATTGTGTCCCTGCCAAAGTTGTAAACTTAAAAGCTACTGAGTCCGCTCAAACTACTGAAATAGTGAAAATAAAATGTTTTACAGGTAATGTCAACCAACTCATAATGTATTGTTTCTGTGCAATATATCTTCAGAAATAATGTCTGTTGGAACTAACCAGTCTATTTGTACATATTGTGTTGTAAAAATATTTAGAGTTTCAGGAATAGAGAATTAAATAAGATTTCTGCCAGTTACCTTGCCGTGTTGTATGACGATAGGAATGTGTATGCAAATAAATGAGCATCATATTATTGTTGTCTGTCAATTAGCTCATTATTTTGCTACAACAGTTAACAAATTATGCACAATGTGAGAGGATCTGTGGTTTACATACATTTTATATTTACCAATGTCGTGTTTATTGTAGTTAAAGTGACAACAGATTTCTCAGCCAAGTCATTAAAGCGACAGCTGTGATTTTGAACATTTTTGTGTTTAAATATAACCTCATAAAGATGACCAAATCTTGCCAAAATATTGTTTTAGACACAACTGCATGGACGAAGTAACCCTACATCAGGCTAATATTACAAGAAATGCATTGTGAGAACTAAGGGCCGAGTAGTCACCATTTCGTGGAAATCAGTTATGTGTGTGTACATGTACCATGGAAAATATGAAGCATAAAATCAACATCAACTTTTAGAGAGAAGCTTAGCCTCTTATGGTATCTACGTATTTGAAATTTCGGCGCACATTATGTACCATAATTCTGGAATGCTCAGGCTGAACTGGATTTTAATAGATGGCGCCCTCTGGAGACCAGAATTAATCCATGCAGGAACTTAATACATGCAGGCTGTCCTCAATACTATGCTAAAAAAAATACCTGACCAAGCTCAGTCTGATCATATTGGAGTAACTAGAGTCACTATTATGCTAGGTGTATGCGGAATCATCTTCCTGATCCCTCTATGTTACAGGAGGAAAGGTCTCTTTTATCAGTGATAAATATCAAGTTAGCAATTAATTGAAGGTCAGTTTCAGGTGAGGTATTTCCCAGGAAGATGTGGTAAAAGCACATGTGAAGCAACCAGTAGAAACTACTAAAGTCTGGTCCTTGTGCCCAGTCTGGCACAACCTCAGATGTTACACTCCAGCCATTAGCTGTTATGTAATTATCTAGTTGGGTGTTGAAAATATCAGTATTGTAGCTGACAGGGAATGCCAAACTCCTCACTCAAACACTGAATGTACACCTCTGACTTTGCTATAAAAAAAAAAAAATCATGTGTGTTTGACTTTAACCCCGTGTAAACAGACTTGCCATTTGACTTTAAAAGCTAGTTCATAGTTTATATCATTGCCCATCAAAGAGCATTATTCCTTTCCGAATATTATTTATTTTGGCCACAGTGATTCCTTTGATGGCGTATAAAAGACTTTATAGGGGTAGCATACTGAAATGTCATACTTTTAGATGTTTATGTCCAATGGACCTGTTGGTCATAAGGTACTGCTTCCATCACAACTCCACTGGACTCAGGATGAATGCTAAAGCGCGGTAGTCGTCGTGCTACGCATGTGCGAGATATATGGGTCTCGTATAAACAAAGATGGCGACTTTGACTGTTGCGCAGATCAACGAGTGCGAACTGACACGTTTTCAAGCTTTAATTGGGTAATTTTCATGTGATTGGAAGGTATCGAAGAGGTCACCGGCGGAAATCAGTGCAATTTGCGCCCGAGTCAAACCTCCTACTTGTGATTTCCATTTGAAGTGCGCATTGGATTGTGGGAAAATCAATGTTTATCAACACAAATGTCGAACATGCGCAGCACTACGACTTCCGCGCTTTAAATATACACAATGGGGCCAATCCAGTAAGAAGAATTGCCACCTGGTCATCAGGTACAGATTCTGTCACAACTCGACTGGACTCAGAATGGATGTTAAATATATACAAGTTGAGCCAATCCTGTAAGAAGAATTGCTACCTGGCCATCAGGTACAGATTCTGTCAAAACTCCAGTGGACTCCCAGCCACACTTATCAATGAGGTAAAACCCAGTCATCACTTCTCCAATCCTTCACACTGGTGATGCTAGCCAAACTCTCAAATGAGGTAGAACGCAGTCATCACTTCTCAAATCCTTCACACTGGTGATGCTAGCCAAACTCTCAAATGAGGTAGAACCCAGTCATCACTTCTCAAATCCTTCACACTGGTGATGCTAGCCAAACTCTCAAATGAGGTAGAACCCAGTCATCAATTCTCAAATCCTTCACAGTGGAAATTCTCAACTGATGAATGCAGAGTGAGAGTAAAGTGCAAGTAAACCAGGAGAACGCACAACACCATTGATGTTACACTTCCGCAGACTCTGAGAAAGTTTAACACAACTGAATAGCAGGACTGCCAGAATGCCGTTGGATCTCCTAATGGTTATAACACTCAACCAACACAACAGTCAAGAATGGAACATTACTCATATTGGCACTGCTAGTTGGCCTATGAGTACTTGCCAACAACTCACAATTGCTACCAAAGCTGTTTCATTTTCATTCTTCATACTCAGATAAGCACTTGGCTTTTCAGGCATCATATAGACTATTCTCAAATCGTCCTATCAGAAATTTAATTATTGTTGAATAATAATAATGTAATATATAATTCATAACAAAATGTCAATACAGCCGAGACCGTGATTCAGGATCAGTGGTCCCAGGCTAAGTTCTAATAACAACACAATTTTTAAAGGTAAAATTACCAACTAAAGACTGTAGTCTAAGAATGTATTGTAAGATTTTGTACTTATACAAATCTATATAGAATATTGTATCTGACAATAATTCCTGATTAGACACAAAGTTCTTCTAAGATGTCTTTGTATTGTGATGGCATTTGTATGTTGCTCCTGGTTCTTGTAGAATGTGGTATTCCCATTTTCGGTGTAGATTATGAGGGTGCACATTCATAGCTTGGTGGGGGTTTATATTGTATGTTGGTTATGTACCTATTCATTCAATTGTATGTTGATGTGGTTTATTTCGCTGCCTATTGGTTGTTGGTTGAGTATTTGTGTCTCGTGGTCTTAGGTGGATTATATTTCTATACAGTATCTTTTTCAATATTGTAAGAATGTGGTATAAGTGCTGTGTTTACAATTTTGGATTTTACAGGATTTTGAAAATTTACCTGATGACCTTCAAACAATTCTGGTACAGGTCTTGCACTTCGATTGTAATGTTGTGCATTGATTTCTTGATGAGTTGAGATACTGATGTATCTCTTTGTTGATCATTGGAGGGTATATCGTGATTGGCAAAATGTTTCTATATTACCTTCCACTCAGTAATTCTGCTGGTAATGGGATTTTGGATTTCAGTTATGTAGTGTGAAGTGACAGTAGTAATAGCTTAGGATCAATTCCATATTTTGTACATTAGTTGGGAATCTTGACAACTGTCTGGATGTTTCTCTCAATGAATTCACGCCTTTTTAGGTAGTATGGTTAGGATGTTACGATTTTGAATCCATACTGTTCTGCAAGGCTCTGTATTCTTTTGCTGTGAATTGGCTGCCATTTTCACAGACTAGTGCAACTGGTATGCCTTGATTTGCGAAAAGGCATCTAGTATCATTGATTACTGTGTTTGCATGCACGTTTTTCCAGCTTTCTGATAAATGGGAATTTACATGTTACATTAGTATAAAATGGTCCTTCAGTGTGTTATGGTCGGGGTGAGATGTCTGTGGGAATCTTTGGTTTTTTTCTGTTATTAGTTCTGGAGCATCTGGCATGAAGCACATCTTTTTAATATTATTTTAGATGCCTGGCCATTACACACTTAATTTGCATTCTTCAATTTCTAAATGTCCCTGGTGGATATGTTGTAGAATGTCATCTAACATCAATGTTAAGAATTACAATTCTGCTGTTTATTAGAAGTGTGCCATTCGGTTATGTCTCGACTTTCCTTATGGGATAAGGTCAACCTTGTACAACTTGAGATCATGATTGTTGCATCTTTGGTGGGTTCCTCCATAATCTGGCACAGTTTAACTGGTGTGACGTTTACTTGATGACGAATCTTAACTTCCATTTCAGGTATCTTAGTTTTGTCAAATGGGGACAAACAAGACAAAGCATCGACTAGTAGCATTTATTTGCCTGGCTTATACATAATGTCAAGTTGCAAGGCCGAAATCATAAAAGCATTCTTTCTGGACGCAGCTGTACATGCGTTTTTTGTTTAATGTTCTAGTGTATATTGATTGTCTCTCACATATAAATATGTGTTCTCACATCCGTATGCTCGTATACTAGGAGTAGTTCTCGTTCATTGTTGGTATATCTGCTTTCGACCTCTTAAGTGACTGGTTTCTACTATAGTAAAGATTGAGTAGTGCCCAAAAGTCTCAATTCATGTCTTCCTATCAATTAGATGTAATGTCTCAATATGAAAAATGTTGAATTATCACCTCCTATCAAATCCTGCGACGTTAACCTAAACAGCGCCCTCACCAACATATTGAGGCCTGATGCCTAATGGTGTCAGCTGAATATATTGCCAGTTCCATTTTCTCCGCATAAATCTATTTTATTTCAATGAACTTTTGCTGAATGGTTTGTTTGTTTTGATAAAACTGGACAAAAAACAGTTTCTACTCCATTTGCATTGAAAGGGAAGAAAACTCGTCTAAAGCCAGAATTGAAAACTAGGCAGAGAAAACATTCTTTGTTTTTGCTCACCAATGATCTACTCAATAATGTCTATCTCGTGGTCACAAATGTTGCCATTTATCTATTCATCCTACACCATGGCAGAATATAATATTTCTGATTTCCTTTGATGTGGAACAAGAACCTCAAGAAAGACGTCATTAGCATTTGCTGTTGGGGTGAATTTGAATCATCTGTTTCACGATAATATATTCGTAAATATGCCTCACTTTACTCCATGCAGTGAATCACTGTTGCAGAATCAAATAAACACACTCACTTTCAAACTTATATCACTGTGATATTAGATTATCAATCAAACCATGCCACACATAATGGCCATTAAACAGGAGTTCAACACGTAAAATATTCACAATCCCATAGAACTTGACCAGCATAATCATTTTCCAAACAAAGACACAATTTTGTTTACTAAATGACTCTTCTATAACATTGAGCTTTGTATTTTGGCGTCAGTTATGCTGGATGACAGACATGTAAGGGTGGAAGCCTACTATTAAATGCAAACCTTGTGGTCTATTGAATTATATGTGGAAAAAAATAAGGACAAGTTTATCAAATTAAGTCAGTATAACAAATGAAGGATGCTATTTCATGGTACCATGAGTTAATAGCTCCATAATTTTACATATTAAATCAATGAACATTGTCATTGTCAATTTTCTCAAAAAAACTTGGCTTCAAATATCAAACCAACACCGAAAACTTTCAAAGCATCGTCCGCCTATTGACCTCTACACGATACCGTGCGGGATCGCATAGACTAATTGCGTATCGAAATAAGGCGCCCAATCAGATTGGACGTACCAAATTATAAAACAAAATTCCACTTCCTGTCTTTGTCGCTATGAAGACATCCTTCCCACACAAAACTGCGTCGATTCCCTGTACCTAATGAGGCTTGAGGGCACCAACACCAAAAACTTTCGCAATTTTATCATCACAAATATCACGAATCATGGGCGCTGCCGTTTTGTTTAAAATGAAACGCCAAAGAGGAATTTGTAACACGCAAACTGATTGGACAATGATTAGCCGAAACTGACTACTGGGGGCGCATATTTGATGGTCGTTCTGCCAGGGTCTGTTTAGAGGCTTGGCCGAATAAACTTAGACCTTGGCTAGCGAAGATGATATCAAAGCTTCAGTTGCCCCAATTAAATACCGTATTTAGTAAAATATTGTATTTTTGCTATTAAGGGTGATTCAGTAAAAATAAAATCAAGAGGATATACATCTTTTTCTATATTATATATTCAACTCATCAAGAATCAGTGAAAATAAACTCCATTCAAAATACAAAACACCCAAACAGCTGTAATAGATAAAATAATTAAACAACAATGTAATAATTCATTTATATTGCGCTTTTTACAATACTGAGTCATCAAGACAATAGCAAAATGTCAAGCTGAACAAAAGGAAATAAATACTATTTATATTCCTAAAAATGTTAGAAATCGCAACGTGTAACTGGACATAGGTAATTTAAGTAATCCAATCCAAATGTTACATGTACATCTAGTCCTGTGTTTGGGAAGCTATCAGGGACAAGTGACGTGATGGCATCTTTTTCTCCCGAAAATCAGCCTTGTCGCTGCATTTTTGACATCCTGTACCCTGGGCAGTGATCGAGTGTGGAACTGAATAGTGCATGAATGTAAATTTTGGTATTTTTGTCAGCCACTTCTGATTTGAGATATTCTACGTAGTTGTTAGACAGATGATTCCTAAACATCACACAAAGATGTCTAGCTTACATTGGATTGATTGATATAACGTCACCTACCGATTATCGAAATATCTGTTTAAGTAGAATTCAGTTAATAATATCATAATACACATGAAACGTCAAACGTAGTGCTCCGAGCGGTGAGCCCCGAGGTACACTCGACTTCAAACACGCATGGATGATGTGTGCCCTCTGACAGAAACACTCTACCGTTCAAATAGTAGTTAAACCATGCCAAGTCTGTTCCACTGATACCGAATTATTTTTTAATAATATATCATGATCCGAAGACTCAAAAGCCGCACTTAAATCGGGAATCACCAAAACAGAAATTTCCTGGTCATTATTAAGAGATTAAATTGTTGTAGGACATTTAACAAACATGTACACGTATATTGAGGGGAAAGCAATCGAATGAAAATAACAAATGTAACACAAACCAAAGAAAGCTTACAACATACAGATTATATAAAGTTTATTTTGGATTTGAAAATTAAATACCATTCATCACTTTGGATTAGGGAAATAAGTAAATTGCGAGTGGACACAAGCTGAAATATAATTGGGTGGACGCCTAAAATCTAAAAACTCTAAAAGGCAGTGCAAATAAATGCAAATTTTGTTGAAGATGAACAACATTCCGTATTGGAGTACGAACTGGTTAATATGGTTAATAATAATTTTCATTTACTATGATTGGGCTAGATAAAATGTGTAAATTTTAAAATCGCTTCACACTCATCATTATCATATTTTGCTCAATGTAAGGTTCTATGAAAAAATTATAAAAATTGGGTTTCCCTGCATTTTTTCCCCATAGGATGACCACCCTTTCCTAGCGATCATTTTGGAACAGGAAATGGAAAAAAGTATATACAACTGAATTTCATAAAAACCAGTTCAAGTACCCCAAGTTTGTATTTCAAATGAAAAACACCAACCCCAAAATATAATTCAGCAAAGTTTAAGGAATATTCCTAATACGCTTACTTTTTTTTATTGAAAACGTTAGCAAAGTTAACGAGTTCGAATCTCGTATTTCATGTTCGTATGTGCATGTAATTTCGATCATTCCTGCACACAATACTCTTTAAATGTATTGAGATCTATATCTTTCATTTGACTAATCAGTATGTCTTCTCTTCTTGACTGATGACACACAAAAGCTTCTGACAAAATGCCAGTCCGCTGTCTGAAAAGCAATTCAATGTAGTTTGGGTTAATTGATGTAATAAATTAACTAAATGTATCCACAATAAAAATATAACACTATGTTTTCCGAATTTATGATGCAATGCAATTGTCTGTGTTAATGTTTGTGAACTTTTGATTCTGCATTCTGGATGTAGTAATATACCGGTAGTCTGGTACGGGCAGTTGATTGGAATTTTAGTTAGGGTCAGTGATTGACAATAAATTCAAATTTGAAAATCACCAGATGAAAAATATTCATGCTATTTACTAAACAGTAAGTTTGTTGCAAAGCATATATTTTCACACTAGAAATAAAGATTGCATATCTAATTACATCTATTATTGACATGTGCTGTGCATGGGTATATGGTTATGATACATTCAATTCAAAATTAAAAACGATATACTAATTTCATAACAATCCGATCTTATTCAAAAAACGACATGACTGTGATGAATTTGTTTGCACGTATCTGTTGTCCGACTTATTTAGCTGATTACCAGTGAATGGCTGTGTTAATTCTGTCATCGTTTAGGCTCATGCGAGGTCCTGGACGGAACTCGACTCAGTGATTTGGAACTAATTACGATATAACCGTCGCTATTTAGACTACTATTTCTGACAGTTGGTATTCGCAGTTACTAATATAGTGAATGATTAATCAAAAGATATGACGTGTCCAGTACTTAGTGTGATTAGTTGAATGTGTGAAAGCCATGCCTTAGGGTCTTTAAACTGCTTTGTAATAGGTTAAGGTTTTGAAAGTGAATAAAGTTGTTTTGAGTTGGTCTTGGCGAGTACACCAGGACAGACGGAGTCTTGGAGAGTATTGGGCTAGTCTTGGGTCAGCCTTGCGATAGTCTTGGGCACTTTTCCCCAGGGCGCTGTGTCTTATAGAGTGCTCGACTGACCGACTAAAGACGAGAGCTGAAACGCATTTCCTTATGTGTGTCTTATTTGATTGTAAGGTTTAAGTGACTTTCCCGATCCCGTACCTCAAGGGGACGCAATATAGAGAGCAGACGAGATTCCCCCCTGGCACGTGTGGAGAACCCAGAAGAGAAGAATTCCCCATGATATGACGATCAGACATTCCCCTACTCGTTCTCTCCATTGTTATTAGATGACTTACTTAGAGTATTTGCGAGCCAATTTGGTTTGTTTTTCCACCAGTTCCCATATAAATAAGCTGGAATCCCCGTTAATATGATGACAGTACCAACGAATGCTTCAAATGGCATTGAAAAAATAGACACAAACACTAAGAAATAACAAATGAGGGAAAAACAGATGGCGATCACAACCGGGATCTGAAACGATACAAAATGTGGGTTAATTGTCAGTTTCAAATCGTGTTTTATATTTTTAGATTTTACGTGATGTGTTTGTTCGAGTACTTCATGAAATGTGCCATGATGTTCAGGCTCGTTCGCAGCTATGTCATTGGTAAATAAAATATTACCATTATTAGGCATTTATTATATTTAATATATATATAATATGTAATTTAAATCGACTGCATAACTACCGTACAATAACGAGTAAATTCGCTTGATGCAATTTGTTTTATATTTATAGTTCCCTTTGTTTCATGATAAATCGTGTTCATGATAAATACCTTGAATGGCCTCTCCATATCCGGTCTCTTATAACGCAGCCAAACTAGTCCGGTGCCAACTATGGCAACAAACAACCAATACGAGAAGCTTGTGTAATTGATTAAGCTACCAACATCCGGGTACAGTCCGTAAAGGATGGATAAAAACATCTGTGAAGAAAATGTTGTGTTGTTTTACTCTTATGTGAGGCCATAATCAAATAACGTGTCATAGAATGAAATGATATGATTAGTATTATACCGTGACGTGATCATAGTATATACATTTACCCTATACATATACAAGAACGGTCATAGTATCTGCACTTAACCTATATAATATATTAACAGTGACCCTAGTATATATATAATGAACATATTATATGAATACGGAATATGGTCGTTTGTTGGGCGTCGCCAATCGTGACAAATTGTTCGCTGATGTATGCAAACACAACCAACACGTATCACATTGGAGCCCACCTGATAAACTACCGTGTGATCTGACCGTTTTGTCAATAGTAATTATTTTATAAATTATGTTTTATTTTGTTGTGTTTTTAAACTGTAGAGTAAATCCTGGCTTATAGTGTCTCGTCCTTAAATTAAAAATTTCTTTAAACTGTAGATATTTAAAATTGACTTTTGAAATGGTTGCTCTCACTACCAAAGTCACGCAACTAGCGTAGTACTATTTTAATATTTACAAAGACGTTGTAGTTCATACTATCAAAAATAAGACGTTTCAGTTTCAAATATTGTACTATATCCATTGCTTTATTCCACGGACAGTTTCACATATTAAACATACATTTTCCAAGATTACTAACGCTTCTGTCTCCTTCCTGAAGTCAAATGCCTTCTTCTTTAAAAAAAACACAATCGTAAACGGGTATTGAACAATCCATGTCTACGTTCAGTGAATAATTTCACCAAAGTTTTATAACTCTGGTTTCCCAGTTATGCCCTTCGCCGGGCATCCGAGGCTCAGTTACAGTAGCGCAGAAGCAAGAGTCTGATGAACAGTGGCATTGTCAGTGTACATGTAAACATGAAGATAATATATGAAGAGTAAACATAGCATATAAACAATAAGATTGGTATTACCATGGAAATTAATGCTGGCATAGGAGTCATAAATTGAATATGCACCATTCCAAGTAGATCTGGCATTAGACCGTCACGAGCGCCAACAAATATTAGTCTACAATAGAAATTTATTACTTTATTGTAAAACGACAAGTGAGTTAGATCAAGAGAATTTGACCATTGTGTTTACTCAAACAAGTTATATGTTGACCATATGTACAATAATGTTGGTCTGGTGAGCAACTTACATATATATTAAATGGGATGGTATATGGATATAGGTATGTATGCCTTATATTACCTTGATAGCGCCATAGCTTGTCCGTTAGCAGCTCCGAACGTTGAAAGGGCAACAGCGACTGGCATCAACCAGGCCATACTGCCGAGAGTTTTGTCACCGAACGTCTAATAATATAAGAAACGTAAATCAGTTCGAAACTGGATAGTGTAGAGCAGTGTGATGCAGCACCTGGTAATTTGACAGTCATGCATACCAGTGAGATAAACAACTTATTTAGTATTTCGGTGTGGGCCATTTGTCGAAAAACTGTTTAATTACAAACCAACTTACAACCGCGACTGCCGGTGAGTTTAACATTTCTGTTGGCGTCATTGCTGCAAAGTATGCCACGTTGGTGAGAACATACACAACGGTAATGAGAATCATTGATGAAGTCAATGAAATCGGGAAGTCTCTGAAATGATAAAAAAAACTCTTAGAGTTTCTGTGCAGCATAAAACGTGGTCGAAAATATACGCAATATGTAGTATTCAATGTGTATTAATTTACCGTTTAGGGTTGGTCATCTCCTCAGTGATTGCGTTGATGCATGACCTACAAATAAAAATGATGCGTTACAACAGCGGCACTATGTGGCAAATGCGTGGATAGGGGGGTGATCCTGGAAAGAGATTGTTTGTTTCCATGACACCCAAAGTGGTTAAATTATTATGATCACTATTAAAGACTTTCACTTAGATTATTCGAGGTTGTGTGTTTCGTCGAATTCTCTATGTGAATACTAACACTAAAACGACTCATACTAAAAATGTAACATTAATTTCCACTTAAAAGAGCGGGATGAAAAATTGGTGAGTGCTTTGTTCGTTGGATCACTGTTAAAAAATAGATACAACTAATATTTAAACTGTCAGTATTATCACAGGCAAAGATAACCCTCCTTTATTAAAGTAAACATTGGAAGAAGTGCAAAATATATGGGCGTGTATGTTGATATCTCCATAACATATTTGTGTTTCCGATCCTCGTTCGTTCCTTCGTTAATATTGTCCACTTCTCTCCTCAAATACAATGTGGCGAGAATAATGCATTTTAAAAACCTTGTTTTACCACAGAGAAAGATGCATCATTTAATTCTGACAATGTCGCATCTTTCTAATTTGTATGATAATAGGTTTCTGGCGCTTCGAAAATTGTCATTTTTCATTTTTGTGGTGGTCAACATGTAGCGAGCGTTCGAATGTTGTGGAAACAGTCAAGTTATTATTAAAGCGGGAGGGTCGTCAACTCCGCACGCGCGAGAATCGAGTCCCAAGCGACGATAACAACACACGCTAAGAGCGCAAAGGCTCATGAGTAGACGCTTGTTTGTAAACAATGACACGATATGGCCACTTGACGCATGCATAGGTGACGACACTCGCGCTTGAACACGCGCTTTGTATGCATTACAACTGATGCGGCGCGACGACTGTGACGTTTTAACGTAAAACTTCTTACCATCCGGCATATGCGAATAATCCATTATAAAAAGCTAATGACAAACGTGACACTGTGGTACCAGGTCCGTCGAAAGAGAAGTTTTCCGTGTTTCCTATATATTGACATACAAGATATATGTATCATTACTGCATGGAATCATTCGCATAATATACAGATTATTGTAAATATGTCAAGTTCATACCTTGGGTATTTTTGAGCGAGTTTGAATAATATTTCATATTTTATTATGGTACTATTATTTACTGCCACAGACAGTTTACTAGGGCAGTTCCATGATTTAAACACGTGCTGGCGACGTTGCGTAGGCGCTAGAATTAACCACTTTTGAAGAGGACGTTCAGAGTTTATTAATGAACGAGTGTATTTGACTGTAGAGTATAAGTGACTTTCCCGATCCCGTACCTCAAGGGGACGAGTTATAGAGACGAGACGAATTTTACCCCATGATAAACGCACTAACTGACAAAAAAAGAACATTTCATTTTGCGAGCAAATTATACTAAACACATTATTATGTTTTGACACGTCGTCGCCAGAATCTATGTACTCAGGGACTTGACAATAACCCGGCAGACGTTCAGTCAATTTCTTGGCTTTTATGGTTTTCCAAATGGAGATAAATTATTATAATAGTATATTCCATCTTTATATTCGTCTGAAATCCGTTGAAACATTCCGCGGGTGACTTGCCCCGACACAGTCAAGATGTCTTCAATAAGTAACGTTCCTGTGTCTTGGTTGAAGGAATTTACCATTGTCGGACTATTAGTTTCTTCCCTTGGAATTTACATTCATTATGGAACTAAAGTCACTGTTTGGGCGCAGACGATCATTTATGCGATTACAATTTCTTACTCAAAAACATTCATTACTAAACCCGCTATGCTGCCGGTGGCACTGGAAGTGAATTGACTATTTCGATAATTAAGATTTCAAAACTATGAATGATCCAATAATGGAAACGCACCAGTCAATTGTCCGCTGGTGTATAATGAAATAATGAACGCCCAAAGGCGGCGGCACGAAATTTAGCCTAGGGAGTGACCTTACTATGGAGTCCGGGCATGATCTCCTTCAAAATGTTTATTTCCTGCATTTTGAGGGGCAATTTTTGCTGACACAAAGGATTTCAGCTTGATTTTGGAGGGGCGACGACACCTCTCCCGAACATTTTTTCCCGAAGAGAACGACGCCCCCCCCCTGTGCCGCCGGCACTTACGCTGTTTAGACAGTAAACAAAGCAGTATTCGTTAATGCACTAATGAAAACTCTAGTGTGTGTGCTCTTTTGATTATCTATATGCGTGTATACTAGTAATCACATTAGGTAAATTTTTGCGCATGCGCAGTTGCGTTTTAGCCGAAGAGAACGGCTATAGTGTGTAGGATATATAGAAGATAATATTTGGTAATCGTAGTCCTAAATAACTATTAAAAATAGCTAGACGTTTCGAGCAATGGCTCTTTATCGATAGCATAGAAGAAAGTGTACGACATTGATTTGTCGTGAAATAAAAACGATGCTTTGCAGCAAACAAATTTACTGTCTTTTTGGAATGAAAATAAACAAGATTAATGCGCACATGTGCTGATTATTACTGCATGTACCAAAACACTATCAACTTACCCTGCACCAAAAGAGCGATACCGACTATTATGATGATTGCCAGCCCAATTAATTTAGCCACAGTACACACGTTTTGAACCCAGGCAGCTCCTCTCACAGTGATACAGTTGTACGAATATATAAGAACTGAAAACAACGATGATTTAAATTAAGTGAAATAATTTTACCCATGTGATACATAACACAATAAATGTATTAGCCATACTTTCACGTGAATACTAAGCTGACACCTATGAGGTGTTCAATATTTGAGTCGTACTGGGAGAAACAATGACGTTTTGCGTTTGGTGTATTATACTGATCTGCGATGTTTTGGGTCTGTGCTTTATTGCAGATGAACCCATGAATGAATTGTCCTGGTTGGTGTACCAATGCGAAACGCGGTTACATTATAACCTTGTTGATATGTAGACGAGGACAACAACAATAAAAACAAGAGTATGATGTAACTTCAGCGTTGGTTACAGAATTTCTTTACAATATTCATTTTAATCTTCAATAAAGGATTTATTTACTTAGCAATCACGTGACGACATGATGGTTTTGCATGTAACGTAATACTGAATTTTAATTGATGGCATGTTAAAAGTTAAAATTATATACTGTAAAGAGGTATCCGATCGCGCGAGAAACACTTCAACAAAACAAAATGGCCTCTAGTCGGCCGTTTTGAATCAAAACAAAATAAATGGCAAAGCAAAATGATGAAGTGCATAAATAAAGTCAAAAATAGGTTTTTCCTCTTGTCCTAGTAAAAATTGGTTTTTGTTTTTGTTTTTTAAACGAATTTAACAATATCACAGATAACTGTTGAAAGCCTAATATTTATTTAATAATGCGTTCCAGCATGCATTATAGAAAATTGATTTATAACACACACAAATTTCACCCATTCAACCGTAAAAAGAAAAACGTACATATGACTTGTACCAAGTTCAAACAAATCCAGAAGAAATGTCGGATGCTCGGACTGCGTCAGATGAGGGGCAATAAAAAAGTTGAACTATTACAGTGTCAACTGTAGTCACCATAAAATATAGCGGCCTGTGTTAATCTAGTCAATCGTATTTGTTTAAGATTGTAATGATAATTTACCGTATCAGGTGAAGTTTCTAAAAATTTTCTCACACTAGCAACGCAAACATAAAACAGACTGAGTTCGTGGATGTCTGTCAGTGATAATCACTTGTTTTAAACTTGTTTTGTGCCAGTTATTGCAGTTAAATGAGGCGGGATGTTGGGAAACTCGATTTCCTTGGCAGCTCACATTGGATTGATACCACAGGAAGTCTATGAACTATAATCAACTGTACGCCCATTCTGTATATACGCCCATCCTGTAGGGATGTAGTGTGTAATTAAAGCAAAAACAAGGGATCACACATTTTTTTAAATTGGAAAACAGACGAAAAAATGCCGAATACTTTGGTTTTATTTCCCAATCGAGAATAAAATCGGGAAAACTGAACGGATTGACTTTATTAATAATGTCTGTTATTAATAAATAAAATTTGACTTTCGGTCAGTGGATTTGGCCTCAGTGCTCATTGAGTCTGTAGCGCATTTCCATCTAAGGTATGGGTGCACCATAGACCTTACTGTATCCCTTTATATTGGAGGGTATATGTTTACACAAAGGTATTCAACCAAGGTAGGATTTGAGTAGTCTGATGCAATAACCACCACGCATCCAGTTGAAACTCTAATCAAATTTTAAATGTCAGCGTTAAATGCGAGTTTCGGGTCCAGATAGTAGTACATGTACATCATGAAAACTATAGGGCGATGGCAGAATTGGTAAAAAAACACACACACAGGCACACACACACACAAATTCTAATGATTCACTATATACATGACACCGTTCAATTCGTCTAATATATTTGTCATCAAGAATATATGTGTTTGATGTGTACTTACTGATGCATGCTTCTGCTATCAGGGTCACGGCCCAGCCAGGTGGGTCACAATCGCTATAAAATGGAACTACTGCATATATAGCAAACGTCTGGCAAATAATGGACACATTGCCTGGTGCTACAATTAAAAAGTTAATCCAAAGCATGAGAAACGCCAGAACTTCCCCAAACGCCTCATTCAAATATGTGTACTCGCCGCCGGACTTGGGGATGGCGCATCCTAGTTCAGCGTAACACAGTGCTCCTAGGAATGCGATAAAACCACATGCGGCCCACACGATAAGAGCAGTTCCAACGGACCCACTGTAGTATAGTACACCTTTGGGCGATATAAAGATTCCCGATCCTATAATGGAACCCATTATCACACAAGTTGCTGCGAATAAGTTAATTTGTTTCTTCATCGCGACGCCACTTTGTTGGTCGACACTGCCGTTTGGCACCGCGACGATCGACATTTCGCCACCACCATCTTCAAGCTCTGGCCGCTTTCGCTGTTTCAGTTCAGAGTCTGACATTATGTCGGACGTCGCCATATCGCCTTTGAAATTGATTCGCAATAGCACACCTCAACATGTGAACGATCGCTGTCTATAAATAAGTGATAATAATAAGTGACGTATCTTGGTCACGTGACTGTCATAATCGACTGGCGATTTATTTACACACTTTGCTTATTAAGATGTACGAGCAGCGTGTCCATGTATTGCGTCATCTTTCAAAGCGATAATGAATATTTGATTGACAAATTTATTTACCGTCATTAATATACAGCCATGACCGGAAAAGGTCATCTTGAATGACGACATCCTTTATGTGACCTGCTTCTTCCCGTGTAAGTGTCTCATGTTTGATCTTATTTTGTTTTTCAAACGGGTTTCATACAAATCGGTGATTTTTTAAATCAGCGGATCTGTGTAAATGTTTAAAAGGCGGTGGTCGTCGCGCCGCATCCTGTTCGATATGGGACTCATAGCGACGTATACAACGCGTGGAAAATACGTAGTTTATTCACATGAAATTTGAACACGCGCTGCGCGACGACCACCGCGCCTTAAAATTTACTTCCTTGTAGGATTACCTGAAACTGTATTTGGGACAGATTCAGTAGTTACGACTGTAGCCTACCGTCCAAAATTAATACAAGTATGAGATTTGTTCAAAACACCAAGAAAGTAAACTTCGATGTAGAACTGCAAAAAACTCGAGTAGGATATTTTGTGTTGCTTCTTTCATATGAGCTGTAGGATTATCTTCACACTGATCTAATAATAAACTTCTTTTGTAGCATGCTTATAATATATGTCTTCAACTTTTCACAGTTCTTCTGTCACCAGGTAGGAATCATTTAGTTTGCAGTCGGTTGAAAGCGGGGGGGGGGGTCGTCACCTGCGCATGCGTTAGATGGCCATAGGTGTCATTGTTTACAAACAATCGTCTACCCATTAGCCTTAGCGTTTTTAGCGTGTGTTATCGTCGATTGGGACTCAATTCCCGCGCTTGCGAAGGTGACCACCGTCCCGCTAGAATCGACCGCATATAAGATTCGTACAGACAATTTATAACTTCCTCTGTAAAGTCATAGCAATGTGGTAACAGACAACAACGTACCTCGACAAAATTTAAGTAGTCCCGAATCAAGTGGCACCAGGAGAATAAGCAAATCGTTGTCATAACATTGAATCATTTGGTAGCACCAATAAAGAATTCCTTTCCTTGTAAATAATGATTGTTGCTCTCATCTATATTATTGATACTGTTATCATATTTTTATTGATCTCACGAGTTGGCTGATGAAACCACTAGTGCCATACATTTTAAAAATATGCAAATTGAACTTCTTATCTAGTGTTTTAAATTGGATTATAGTCTGTCAGCATAAAATGATGTAATTCCCTATCCCTATATGAAAGACGAGTGATTTACTTTATTTAATGTCCAAGCTCTTTCAATATATAAACAACAACATCGTCCTCGTATTCGTGTTTATTCAGCAAACAGTGGACTTTGTCACGGTCTCCTTGCTGAATTTTGTTTGCATTTAATGTGTCAGGTACAAGCAGCGTGTTCTTTGAGTGACAGATTTATGTTTTTAACAAGAAGACAAATATGTTGTCTTTGTACTACAAATGAGAATGATTGCATGCGTCATAGTACTGAACTTGATTTCCCAAATTTTAATTTAGCTGTATTCTGATTTATAAATGGTACACAAAGATATAAATACTAGTATATTGTCGTAACGCATATCTCTGGATATTTTAGCAAAAACATGGACGTAAAACATAAATATACTGATTTTGAATTTATTGTATTGTTTACACACTATGATAAGCCAGAAATTATGAATTTTCCATATCTTTCAAGTAACATTTCTTCAACTCCAGCTTATGGCGAATACATGTCTCAAAGTTTAAGGTAGAGTAGAGCTAGAAGGTGAATGTCGAGTAAGACGTAGCTCTCTAGCTACAAATCGTGTTAAGCAGGGTTACCCGAGAAATAAACAGGTAAGACCTTCATCACGAACATGTTACCAAATAAGACTTGACTGTCAGGCAAATCATGCGAGACAGCAATCTTAATTATATGACTCTATGAAGTTCTTCTTTGCCTTGTTACGATTAGATATTTATTATAATACACTATTAGACCAATCATAGTGAGTGTAACTAGTCAGCAAAGTATGCTTACTCATTTCACTGTCTGAGTGGTCCACCATATGACACTGTCTGAATAGACTACAACACGACACTGTCAAAACACATGTATAGGTGAAACACCACCTGGTACTGTACCACAACACTATTAAACCAATCATGGAGGATTTGACGAGTCAGAAAGTTAGACAAGGTATGCTTACTCACTCCGGACACCGATGGTTCATGGTCAGTTGGTTAACTCTCACAGCACAATGTGGTTGACCACATAGACGCGAATATTGTTTTACGTGATTTGCTCAGGAGGTTTTTGTGGCGATTTGACGAGGGAGTGTTGTGCGACTGTGTTTCTGTGTGCCGACCAATTATACATGTAGCGTTGTGGCCCACCTCAACAGCCTAGTGTTGTGGTACAGTGTCAGGTGGTGATTAGATTCTATCTGGTTGGAGTAATTGACCCTGTGCCAACATAGTCGAGGGTAACTATTGAACAGATACTGCTATCATTAATATCGATAATCTTGACATACGATATTAGGAAGGTGAACTCCCTAGGTCATCGTTGACAGATACAAACCACATGGGACACCCTACTCCTGCGTTCTTGCGTTCCTGAGTTCTTGCCATATTTGCCTAAATAAATAAAATTAAATGCCGGTATAAAATTGTATTTACGTATACTGAACAGCATGTGTACGATTATTGAGATCTAGAAGCTTCCAAGTATTATTATAGCTGGTTTGTTTTCGCATGCCTGACAAAATATACTAGAAATTAAATTCATTTTCTACTTAATTATTGTGAAGAACTTAATCACAAATTAGGTTTTATATTGAATTTTAATTATGCAAATGTCTGCATGTTTATGAAATGGACAAACATGATTTGATAAATACTTCTCGTTATATTACATTTTATTACAGTTATGCAAGTTTTTTGTTCAAAAACATCTTTCATTTCACGATAAATCAATAAATTATTTTATTTTTGCTTTCCTTCTTTTCTATTACTAGTATTGTGCTTTGTGACAGTGTTGCATACTTAGATGAATACTCACTGATTGTAGCTATACTACTTCAATATGTCGTATATTCTAACAAGCTTTCACCGAGGACCCGGTTTTCCAGCCTTCCTGTTTTTTAATTTGTAAAGAAATTAAATAACTACGTAATTTTACAGGATATGGTAGATTTTCTACTTAATAAACTGGTTTTACAAAATAACATTCCAAAATGTTGGATTTATTTCTGACATTTTATTTAAGATATTACCAGACAGATTTTGTTACCCAGTTTTCATGCCAACACTGCTATCATGTTTCGCGTTGAATATGAGTATGTTAGGTACGAACAGCATTTAATTGCATTTCATCATCTTTCAAAACGACCCCCTTTTTTATGAGTGATAAATTTTGATTTCAATACAACAAACAAGTAACTGCCAATCGCAAATCCGTTGTTTTTACTCGTTTTACAAGTGAATGAAATATCTATATGTACTTATGTGGAAAGGCTTTTTGACGGTCAGTCAGACATGCGAGACTGTGGTGTATAATTGTGGGTGTTCATACATGAAAAAACAAAACATCAGAGATTGCAATTGTAGATTGGTGAAACAAATCTACGTCGCTGGAGATGAATTTCTCCTTCGAAAAAAACAAAAGATGGCAGGTGGTTTTTTAGCTCCCGTGAAACGGAGCTTATGTGGTACCGGTGTCTGTGACTCTGTGACTAAAATTTGTTCCACTGATAACTCAAGATCTAGAATTTCAATTCAAATGAAATTTGGCACACAGCTAATATATGATGAGTAGATGCGCTGATTAGATTTTGGTGCAATTCCATGCATATTAATTAGTCAATTGATGCATTTATTAGTCCCCGTTCGGACGCCGTATCTGTATCTTAGAAATGCCTGGACCAATCACAATCAAACTTCACACATACATCATACATGATATTATACATATGCACGTCAATTTGTTTCATGATCTGATTCAAGATGGCCGAATTGCGGCCATTTTTGTGCTAAAAATCATCAAAATCAAGCATTTCTCGGCTGTTTACAGATGGATTTTGTTCAAACTTGGTATATACATTAGACATTATAAGACCTTGATGCACGTCATTTTGTTTTACAATCTGATTCAAGATGGCCGAATGGAGGCCATTTTTGTGTTACAAAATCCTAAAAATATAGCATTTATTGGCTATTTACAGATGGATTTTGTTCAAACTTGGTATATACATTAGACATTATGGGACCTTGATGCAAATAATTTTGTTTTTCAGATAAGATTCAAAATAGCCGACTGGCGGCCATTTTGTTTTAATGAATGTGGTTCTCGTGCCATATCGCTGACTTGCTTTTAAATATTCATTATACATCATGTCATAGGTATACAGATATATTGGTTTGATGATCCTATTCAAAATGGCCAAATGGTGGCAATTTTTGTGCTAAAAATCATCAAATATCAAGCATTTATGGATGGATTTCGTTCAAACTTGGTACATATATTAGACATTACAGGTTCCTAATGCACATCATTTATTTTTCAGATCAGATTCAAAATGGCTGTCTGGCGGCCATTTTGTTTTGATGAATGGGCTTCTAGACCCATATCTCAGACTTGTGTTGACTGATTATATTCAAATTTTAAATATTCATTATACATCATGTCATAGATAAACAGATATATTGGTTTGACGATTCTATTCAAAATGGTCGAATGGTGGTCATTTTTGTGCTAAAAAATCATCAAATATCAAGCATTTCTGGCATTTATGGATGGATTTCGTTCAAACTTGGTACATACATGAGACATTACGGGTTCCTGATGCACGTCATTTTATTTTTCAGATTAGACTCAAAATGGCTGACTGGCGGCCATTTTGTTTTAATGATTGGGCTTCTAGAGCCATAATTACTCATTTTACGCATTGAAGCTATACAACGTGACTGAAAGCACTTCCAATGTGATCTAATTTGTAAACAATCTTTTTGCACACGACTCCCAGTGTCTTCTCCTCGAGCAGACAGTAATGTTTCACATTTGTTTTCGCATGGTTTCCATCTTACTCGAATAAAACGAAGCAGTTGATTCCTATTTTACTTAGTGTTTATTCTTGTTTGATATTTTTAAACAAAAATGCACTCATTAAACAAATAGTAAATATGCGAGTTTTTTGTTTTTGCCGAACAAGGACAAGGAAGGCAAAATGGCGGTAGTTTTGTGTCGGGTCGATCGCAATCTTCGGTTTGTATCAAAAGCACGTCTCACAAA